GCTTCAGTCATGTCCGACTCTGTGTGGCTGTATGGACTGTAGCCTGTCAGGCTCCTCTGTCCATGGGATGCTCCAGGCAAGAATACTGGAGTGGGTTGCCATGCCCTCCTCCAGGGGATCTTCCTGACCCAGGCATTGAACCCACATCTCTTGTGTCTCCTGCATTGGCAGGCGGGCTCTTTACCACTAGTGCCACCTGGGGGTCCACCCAGCACCCTAGGGTTCCCTAAATCTACCCTGTGGACTGACACTCCACCTTCCTCCAGCCATAACAGACATCAGTAATTGATCCTGGCCCTCCTTCCTGCTGAGTCCAAGCAACCCAGCCTGATCTACCTTTCAGCAGCCCCTACTAATCGATCAGAGTTGGCATTTGAGATTAAATGCATCTGCCACTGGGACTTCCCAGTTGGCGCTAGTGGTAAAGAACCTGTCTCCCAGTACCGGGACTTTGGAAATGTGGGTTAGACACCTAGGTCAGGAAGATCCCTTGGATGAGGGCATGGCAACCCACTTAGGATTCTTGCCTGGAGAATCCCATGGACAGAGGAGCCTGGCAGGCTATGGTCCATAGGTTTGCAAAGAGTCAGACATGACTGGAGCAACTTAGCATGCACGTATGTATGTATTTGCCGCTCCTGCTATTCAGTATTGGCCTCTGGAAATGCTTGCTACTTTCCTAAGTGGCTCCGCCTTTTTCCATTCAGGATGGGTAAGAAGCAGAGAAGAGACCAAACCCAAGCCTGGCCCCATTCTTCAACTGCTTTGGTTCTGATTCCCATGCCAACTCAAGAAGCTTGCCATGAAGATGATTTATCTCTGCCCTGGGGTATTTGTGTTTGTTTGGGGTTTTGGCTGCGGGTTTTATGGGTGGCAAACAAGTCCAGAGACGGCCAGTGCCTTGCCCAAGGGGAACCTGAATCATCTCCCCATCGCTAATCCAGGGCTCTTTCACTCTCTCCAGGGGACCTCTCACAGCCAATTAGGAACTACTGGAAAAGCCAGAAACACAATGGCAACCTCATTCATCCCAAACCAATCACATCTGGTTCACTTCTTCCCCGCTAAGCAGCAAACAGTGGAGACAGCGTCCAGGCTGGCTGCGGGCTGGGATCTCAGCTCAGAGACAAGGCCTCGGCCAAGAGCCGGCGAGAAGCCATTCTCACGCTGATCCCTGGGCTCCGAGAAAGAGATTTTCCCTAATGCAGCTGAGTTCGGTGACCCAACATGGCTGAAAATTGTCCTTTTCCAATGCGATAATCCACAGAAACCCAGGCAGGGGCTCCAAGATGGAGCAGCTTCCAGCAGCAGCCGGGGGGCAGGTGGCTTCTGTGGTCCCACTGCTTTCTGTCTTTATTAACATTTGCAGAAAAACTCACAGTGTGCTTTGCTGCAAATGAAAACCACGCGATTTCATTTTCTCCCCTCAACCAGGCCAGATGGCCCCTTCTCGCTCTTTTCCCCTTGCTCATGCTAGAATTTTTTTTTTTAGCTCAAAAATACTAAAAGATCCCTAACATCTGCCTTTCCAGGTCATTTTTAGCCAAAGGTGCCCCAAATTGAGTCCTTGGATTGTCTTAAAACGGCATCTCCCCCCTTGGGAACAGCTGTATCTTCACCTCCAACGTCTCCGCCTTCTATAGAGCTTTGGGGCTCCCGGGGTGGCAGAGGAACGACAGCATGCCCGTCTGTGCCCACATCCGCATTGGAGACTGCAGGCAAGGCCCGGAGTGCCTGCAGTGTTTGGGAGACGTCCAGCTCAAAATGTGGGGGATTCCTACCCTTGCACACACCTCTCCCCAAACTTCTGAGGACTCGTGTTCATGGCAGGACCTGACTGAGTTACTCAGCTTCCCACCAACCTGCACTGCTGTTATCTAGTTTCACATAGAATTAAAAAAAACCAACTTGAGGTCGCTCTGTCTCTCATACACACACACACACACACACACACACACACACACACACACACGCACACACACACACAGCAGAAAGTGGCAGGGTCAGAATCTACCCATGAGGACCTGACCCCAGGCCCAGGCCCTGACCGCTGCCCCACAAGGTTCTTGTCCCATTACTACTAAACTGGCTGGAATGGACCTTGCCCTATCCTGGCCCCCATCCCAAAGGGACAGTCATCTGCTGCCTTCAACATCGCACTCATTTCCAACGTGGCCCTTGGTGACGCCTTAAGGCCCAGGTTCCTGTGTGTCCCTTCAGTCATGTCCAACTCCTTGTGACCCCGTGGATCGTAGCCAGGCTCCTCTATCCATGCAATTCTCCAGACAAGAATACTGGAGTGGGTTACCGTGCCTCCTCCAGGGGATCTCCCTGATCCAGGGATTGACTCTGCATGTCTTATGTCTCCTGCACTGGCAGACAGATTCTTTACCACTAGCACCACCTGGGAAGCCCAAGGCCCAGGTTCAGGGCCCCGCAAAACCCATCCAATTGCACATGTGTGTACGCATCGGTGTGACATCAGCTCCTTAATTCTCTTTTGGGGGAATAAATAATACCTCTGATCACAGCATCCTGTTAACTGGCAGGAGAGACAAGACTACAGATGTGAACTAGGGGTGACCTGCCACTCCCCACGGGAGGACCCTTAAGAAAACTATTCTCTCAAGAACCTTTAGGTACCAAGGCACAGATAGTCTCAGAAAATCAAGCAGCATCAGGAGCCCAGCCAGGACCAGTAGAAAATCTCTGACAAAGGGTGACTTTGTATGGGATGAAAGGAAAGTGAGGTGGGTGCTGGAGAGGCTGAGTTCCCATCATTCTCCAAGTGAGAGCAGTACCAAGCCTGAGTCAGCCACATAAGGCACAGAGGATCTTCTAGGAGACCAGAAATTCCATGTCCTCAGAGGGAGGGACAGAGGGGGCCTGGGACAGGGGCGAAAGTTGGGACATGAGAGGGGTGGGCAAGAGGGTGCAGCCTGAGTCAGGGATCCAGGAGAGACTCCTCATGGTGGGTATGGTTCAGGGGCTTCAAGACCAGTGTTGAACTGGATGGTTATACACCTTCTGGATGTAGCACCCTCCACCTCAAATCTTCAGTAAAAGTCTAGTACAGTCATCCCTCGGGATTGGTTACAGGACCTCCATGGATAGTAAAATCCACTGATCCCGCATATAAAATGGTGTAGTATTTACATATAACCTACACCCATCCTTCTGTATCCTTGACATCATCTTATTGCTTATAATACCTGAAGGGAAAAGTGAAAATATTAGTTGCTCAGTCATGTTCGACTTCTTGCGACTCCATAGACTGTAGACCGCAGGCTCCTCTGTCCATGGAATTCTTCAGGCAAGAATACTGGAGTGGGTTGCCAGGGAATCTTCCCGACCCAGGGATGGAATCTCAGTCTCCTGCACTATGGGCAGGTTCTTTACCATCTGAACCACCAAATGTAAATGGTATGTAAATAGTTGCTCTTTCTCTCTCTCTCTCAGTTGCTCAGTCCTGTCCGACTCTTTGCGACCCCGTGGAGTAGTCCACCAGGCTCCATGGTCCATGGAATTTTCCAAGCAAGAATAGTGGAGTGGGTTACCACCCCCTACTCCAGGGTATCTTCCCAACCCAGGGATTGAAACCACGCCTGTTGCATCTTCTGCACTGGCAGGCAGATTCTTTACCATTGAGCCACTTGAGCCACCAGGGCAGCCCAAATAGTTGCTGGAGTGTGGCAAATTCAAGTTTTGCTTGTTTTGGAACTTTCTGAAATTTTTATTTTTGAATATTTTCAATCCACAGTTGGTTGAATCCACCGATGCAAAATCTGTGAATGCAGAGAGCTGACTGGACACACAATGGAAGAAAGAAAGAATGAATGAATGTCTACACCAAGCAACACCAGGAACCCTTTTCTGCATTCAACAGACCTCCCAGGCAAGGATCCTCTTGCAATGGAAAAGGCTGGGCCTTACAATGGTTCAGAGAAACCCTTCCAGTTTCTCATACCACTGCAAACAACTGGGTGATCTATGGAATTCCAGTATCTTAGCACCTCAAGTTTCCCTTCCATAAAACAAGGATTAAAAATCTCACTGTCAGACTGTTGGGCATCAAATGAGATCATATACATGGCTGTCTGCTGGACACATGGAAAAATTCTGCTGTGCTTCTGGGATGGAAAGGGGAGGAAAGAGAACCAATATAGAAGGTCATACCACACGCAGCACCAGGTGGATCCAACTTGTACTGTCCCCTTCTTTCCAGATGAGGAAACTGAGGTTCAGTTAGGATAAAAAACTTGCCAAGGCCATATAGCTGGTGAGGATTTGAACAGTTTGGATTTGAAGTGTGGAATTCAGAAGCCGGAATTCCCCCTTACTTATTTATATCCCCACTCAAATACCACCTGGGCTCTACAACTGCCTTCAGAACTCTTCCTTCTAGAAAAGCATTTAATTTTAATCCTGTACATTTCTCCCCAGCAGACATGCACAGAACTTTATTTAAATATATTGTTATCATTATTATTGCTTTGCCTAAAGATTCCTTAACAGAGATCTTTTTTTTTTCTTTGCCCACAAACACACACACATGCACCTCTCCAACCGGTTTGAATAGAGCTTTGTGAGTGGTAGGGCTACTTAGAAACAAAAATTTCCTATTATTTCAATTCAATTACATAGTAACCACTTTTTTTTTAAGAGTATATTTATTTGAGCTTATTGTGCAGCAAATCATTGACATTTTCTTTCTCCAAACTATTTTGAGAAGAGAAAATGATCAAATGAAAGGGAGGAAATGTTAGGCATATCATCCCTGCTATTGAGAATAATGCTGATGGATTTTCCTCTTGCACTTTTAATTTATTTAAACAACACCCCCGCTTCCATCAACAACCACGCCTTGGCTTCCTGAGCGCTTTTCTCCAGGGTATTCGCGGCCATTCGGTTGTAGTCCCTGTTGGAGACACGGAGGGGAGGTTCTGGAGCCAGAGCAGACGTGGAGGAGGAGCAGTCCTGCTCCCCAGGGTGTGGGTGTGATGTCAGAGGTCCGCAGCAGACTCGAGCGCTGGCTGCAGCCCAAACAGGGTTAGGTCTAGGTTCTGACTGTCTGGACTCCCCATCCACCTCCTCAGCTGGGGAACAACGGTAAGGGTGGCAATTCAGGGGTTGGGGTCTAGTCCCACCCTCTTGGTGCGTGCATGCTAAGCCGCTTCAGTTGTATCTGGCTCTGTGGCCCCATGGACCGAGGCCGCCAGGCCCCTCTGCCCACGGCCCCCATGGACCGAGGCCGCCAGGCCCCTCTGCCCACGGCCCCCGTGGACCGGAGGCCGCCAGGCCCCTCTGTGCACGGCCCCCATGGACCGAGGCCGCCAGGCCCCTCTGCCCACAGCCCCCATGGACCGAGGCCGCCAGGCCCCTCTGCCCACGGCCCCCGTGGACCGGAGGCCGCCAGGCCCCTCTGTGCACGGCCCCCATGGACCGAGGCCGCCAGGCCCCTCTGTGCACGGCCACTCTCCAGGCAAGAATCCTGGGGTGGGCTGCCATGCTCTCCTCAGTCCTCGTGGTGTCCCCGCCCAATTCCCAGGCCTCCATGAGCCCATCCCAGGCTCTGAGCTTGGCCCCTGTAGTCCCCGTTTGGTCTCTGGGCTCTGAGGAGAGAAGGCCCCCCCCCCCGGGAAAGCCACCACCCGTGGCCCCCGCTCCAGCCCCTCCGCAGCCCTGCAACCTGACCTCTATCTCCTCAGCCTCACAGACCAGCAGCACCGGCCTCAGAGGTCGCTCTGTTTGCCTTGGCTCCGCAAGCCTGCTTCCCCAGCAAGAAGCCGCTGGAAAGGAAAATAAAACAACAACAAAAAGCCTTTTGATCTGCCAGTGGACGTCCTCATCCAACCCTGGGGGAAGGTGGAAACCACTCTCTGGAGTGACCTGCTAACCCCTCTTTCACAAATGCTCTCTGAAGGGCCCCAGGGTCTTTCAGAGACCCCACTAGGCCAGGCTCCCGGCCCCATGAGATGAAAGGGTCAAAATGACATCTGTAGGGACTCAGCGGGGATGGGCAGGGGCCAGGAAGAGGCCAGAGAGGACCCGGAAACCACGGAAAGAGAAGATGGCCACGGACCCAGGCTGGCCACTCCTCAGGAGGCGGTCACCACAGATTGTCTGCTTGGAGGAGCAGCGAGAAAGAGCTGTGCCCCAGAAAAGCAACTCAGTTCAGGAGTGGGGAATCAAGCAAAGGCATCACGCTGTCCACACAGGGGTACGCCAAGCACCCATCCCGAGATGGCGCGGCTAGTAACTGACATGGGGCCGTGCCTCTCCCCTGCCCCGCGGGCCACTCTGGAGCCTCACTATGTCTTTGGGGACAGTTTTGCTGACTCCTGGATCCCCTACTCAAGCACCCCCATTCGGTCTCTTGGCTTGAAGGCAGGCTGGAAGCTTCCAGAAGCTGATGCCCCCAGGAGCCACCCTCAACCAGTGAGAGATGGAAGTTGGTGACCACCTGCTGGACCAAGTCTGAGGGGTGCTTCACACAGTCTCTGGGAGGGTTCCCAGCGGGACAGGGCCCCGGTTGCCCACAGCAGGAGACAGCCTGTTAGCACATCTTTGTTTGGCTCTCCTCCCTTCCCTGCCCACTCGCCTGTCTGAGACAACCTCACCACACATACACTCTTTGTACCCAAATCCTTGCTCAGGGTATGTTTTTGGAGACCCCATCTAGACCAAGGCAGAAGTGTACATGCTAAGACAGGACAAATGAAAAAATGCACCATGCAAAGTAGAAAAGGCAAAATGCCTACAGGGGCAAAAGCCCCCTCCCTTCAAGTTGCAAATGTTCAACAACGCAAACATGCCCCTGGGTGCCAACTGTTACACTGGTAGTGTATTACTCTACTCTTCAAGGTACTGTACTGAAAGATTAAAAATGTTTTATTTATTTTTGTATTGTTTGTGTGAAAAGTATTATAAACCTGTTATAGTACAGTACTATATAGCAGATTGTGTTAGTTGGGTACCTAGGCTAACTTTGTTGGACTTACAAATTGGACTTACAACCGTGTTCTCGGAATGGAACTTCATATGTGATGGACCTACTGAATAAGGACAAATATACATATATATACATATATACTGGCAGACCTGGTGGCTCAGACGCTCAAAGTGTCTGCCTGCAATGCTGGAGACCCAGGTTCGATCCCTGGGTTGGGAAGATCCCCCTGGAGAAGGAAATGGCAACCCTCTCCAGTACTCTTGCCTGGAGAATGCCATGGACGGAGGAGCGTGGTGGGCTACAGTCCACGGGGCCACAGAGTTGGACATGACTGAGCGACTTCATTTCACTATACTGTATATAAGACATATATACATATAGTTGGGTACCTAGGCTAACTGTTAGACTTACAAACTGGACTTAACGAACGTGTTCTTGGAAATGGAACTCCTTCATTCGTGAGGGACCTACTTATATAAGAATAACAGGCACCATATACACAGCTGTGCTCATTTACTGGGCAAACAATTCAGCAAGGTTGGGGGCTGCTCACAATGGGTCTGGGTAAGGAGATGGGCTTAAGACTCAGTTTCCATTGAATCTGCTTTTGTTCTATTTCTATACTCTCTTACTATATTTATTCTGATTATTTTTTTCTTTGGTCTTTTACCAATAAAAAGTGATTCATTCCAAAGAGCTTCTAGAAAGTAAAGAAAAGAAAAGAAAAAGAACTATAGAGAGGGAGAAAATCCAGAATAAGCGACCCCCCTGACCCTGACTTCCTAGGACCCTCCCACTTCCTCCTCACCTCTCCAAGCCCATGGCCTCCCTCTAGTCCACCTGCAGCACCACGGGTCCCAGATCCCTTAGAGGTTTGGCAGCTGCTGTCAAACAAAGGAATTAAGGGCTGGAGGCGAGCTCAGGACCAGGTGACAGACCTCTAAGACCCCTGGATCCTGATTTCCTCCCACTCTGGCTGATAAGACACGAACTGGCTCCAACAGAGAAGACCTTGGTGTCCCACAGAGGAGCAGAGCCAGGGAACAGACCGTGTAATGCTGGGTCTTTAAAGAGATGATCAAATTAAAATGAGGCTTTTAGGGTGGGTCGTAATCCAATCTGACTAATGCCCTTATAAAAAGAGATTTGGACCCTCGGGGGACACCAGATTGAACCCCCAGAGGACACCAGATTGGACCCCCCAGGGGACACCAGAGGTACACGTGCACAGAGGACCCAGTGAGCAGACAGCCTGCTGCAAGCCTAGGAGACAGCCCTCAGAAGAAACTGAATCTGCCAACACCTTGATCATGAACTTCTACCCTTCTACCCCAAAACTGTGAAAAATAAATCTGATAAGAATTAACTTACTTAGTGCTTACAACAACCCAATAAATCAGGTATTATTTTTAGTACCATTTTATGGACAAGAAAGTGGTGAACAAAGAGGTTGAGTAACTTGCCCAACGCTGCAGAGCTGGTGGGTGATGGAGTTGGGGCTGTAAACCATCCCTTTGGATGAGACAGGGCTCGTAAGTGCCTGGCACCCTGAAAGGGATCAATACATGGTAGCTGCGCCCTTCACCCAAAACAACCTGAAAAAGACTGGTCTGCAAAGGGTAAAAATGGAGGAAGGCATTTTGTGAGCACCTGCCAGGTGCCTGGGACCCAGGGACAAGCCAAGGCTGACAGAGGTTACACTAGAATGGGGAGGTGGAAGTTAAATAATCACACAGACAAGTCAACAATCACCCAATTTTAACAAACTCCTGTTAAGAAGAGGATAATGGAGCCATCAGGGCTTCCCTGGTAGCTCAGCTGGTAAAGAACCCGCCTGCAATGCAGGAGGCCCTGGTTCGATTCCTGGGTCAGGAATATCCCCTGGAGAAGGGACAGGCTACCCACTCCGGTATTCATGGGCTTCCCTTGGTGGCTCAGATGGTAAAGAATCCGCCTGCAATGCGGGAGACCTGGGTTCTATCCCTGGGTTGGGAAGATTCCCTGGAGGAAGCATGGCAACCCACTGCAGTACACTTGCCTGGAGAATGCCCAGGGACAGAGGAGCCTGCTGGGCTGTAGTTTGTGGGGTTGTAAAGAGCTGGACACGACTAGAGACTAAGCACACAGCACAGTGGGGCCATCAGAGCCAATGGGTGAGAAATTTGGCCCACTTGGAAGTCAAGGAGGGCTTCTTGGAGGAAGTGATAGGATCCAAAGGATAAAGGGGTTATGGGTAGCTAAAAAAGGAGCGAAGGATTGTAGTGACTAGGGAAGAACATTCAGAGTGGCCTTGTGCAGGCAGGGGCAAGAGAAGGAAGCCAGGTGGCGGTAGGCTTGTGTGGCAGAGGGGACAGAGGTTGCCGGAAAGTCTTAGAAACACAAGTGAGGCGCTCGCTTCCGCAGCACATACACTAAAATAAACGCAAGTGAGAACATGGACGGGTTTCCAAAAGAGTGCAACATGGCTAGCATGATCACATTACACAACAGATGTTTCCTCTAACAAAGCATGCAGGTTGAACGTCAGTAAATTGAATTTTATTTTTAAGGCGGTAGGGAGGAACGGGAATCTGAGAGTTACTGTCTGTAAATGGGATGAGGAGCCTCTGATCCAGCTGGCATTTCATAGATACGGCCACTTCGAGTGAGGTACACCCGCTAGGTAACAATACCGGAGGAGGACAGGCCTTCCGTATGGCAGCAGGCGGGTGAGTGTCTCTGCTGGTCGTGGCCGTCTGTTCCCCCCGCGAGTCTCGGGGCACCGGAAGCTTCTGAACACGGCTCTCCCCAGTGGGCCACCACACAGCCTGTTTCCTGGTACCCACAGCCTTCCAAGCTCCCCTTCCCCAGCTCCTCCTCATCCCCCAAGCTTTAATTTGTACTTACTTCCATGCGGAGGCCTTCGCTGCCCCAGCCCCCAGATGTAACTGCCTTTCATGGGTTTGTCCCGGCACCCCTGGCTCCCCGCGGGTTTGTCCCCATATATCCCCAGTGCCCCCACCTAAGGGGGTTACCGGTAGAGGCCTTGGTGCACAGCAAAGGAGGATGAGATCCCCAAAAGCTCTAAGAATTCATTCATTCATTCATTCAGCATGTA